GAAAACATTTGGCACATCATAAAGAGGAAGATGCGACAAAGAAGACCTAAGACAGTCGAACACCTAGAAGCCTGTATTAGACAAGAATGGGAGAACATTCCTATTCCTAAACTTGAGCAACTTGTCTCCTCAGTTCCCAGACGTTTGCAGACAGTTGTAAAAAGAAAAGGGGATGCCTCACAGTGGTAAACATGGTCTTGTCCCAACTTTTTTGAAATGTGTTGTTGGCATGAAATATAAAATCAACTTATTTTCCCCTTAAAATTATACATTTTCGCAGTTCAAACATTTGACATGTCATCTATGTTCTATACTGAATAAAATATTGAAATTTGGAGCTTCCACATCATTGCATTCAGATTTTATTCACAATTGGTACAGTGTCCCAACTTTTTTGGAATCGGGTTTGTATATGAGCAATATCACACGAGTAGCAGTGCGATATGGCTGTATATCGGCACTGGCGGGAGGCGTGCGTTGGCACAAGGCCGCAGGCCTGTTTTATTTCTAGCTGAAATAAAACAAATAAGACTTTCTCTAGAAGAAAAAATATAATAGAAAATACTGTGAAAAATTCCTGAATCTGTTCAACATCATTTGGGAAATATTTGAATGAGAAAAAATAAAATAAAATCACAGAAGGGCAAATAATTTTAACTTCAAACAAGGAGTGATAAATGTAAATGTTCATCTGAATTTTCTCTCTCTCCTGCAGCTGAAGCTCTGATATAAAGCATCCATCAGATATGAACTTATTCTGCAATATGATGATGATGCTGCTGCTGCTTCCATGGCAACAAAACCCCCTGGCAACAACAATTATGTGCTTGTGCAGAGCTGCAGGAAATGTCAGAGTCATCAGAAAGTCCATCAAATCAGAAACAAGCAGAGGTTTGAGTTAGAGACAGCAGATCATGAGGAAACACACTTCCCCACAACATCACATATGCACAATTATATATGCTCAATATGTTCCGCGATCTAAAATAATGTGTTTCCTTCCCATCTAGTTTGACACTATTGACATTGTAAAAAGAGCAACAGAAATAAAGATGTCTTGACTCCACTCAGCATTTACAGATACATTTAGCATCTATTTTACTGCTAAGGTGAAAATTATCATGATCATAATGCCATAAATTATATTTGCATTTAATTTAGCGAGAAATAGACATATTTGATATTTTCTTTTTGTGAGTAATAATAATAATAATAATAATAATAATAATGATAATAATAATAATATAATGAAAAAAAATATTAATAATAAAAATAATACCATTTTATTTTTCTGAATTTATAGCTTTTCTGTCATTATTAGCTAGGCGGTGCATTTTGTTGCAGTGGAAGTCTCCTCAACCCCCATCCCATACTCAGTGGATTAAAGACGCCTTATTTTTTGTTAAATTAGAAAAAATTAAACATAGTCTTCGAGGTTCAGTGGTCAAATTTTCTAATATTTGGTTGCCTTTTTTGGAACATGTCAAATCTCTGAGACTTAAGGCAATTACTGTGGAGTGAATGGTTGCCATTCTTGCATTTTTGTTTTGATCTGTGCTTCCAGTTGAGTATTAGTGCTGCTGATAAACCACAAACATACAACTTTTTCTTGACATAAAACCACAAGTTAAGAATGTGCCACCCCCCAGCCTATTTAGTTTAATACATTTTCCCTTTTCTCTCGCTTTTTTTAAAATTTCTATTTTTTTCTATTTGTTTATTTTATTTTATTATTACTGTTTATTTTACTTAATACACCATGCTGTCAACCTTAACGTCTCGTACAGACCTGTTTATATGCTCAATTTGAAAATTGATTTATGCACATCATATAGTGTTTATGCTTGTCATATACTGTGTGTCGCACAATATGAGGGTTATAGTGTGGTTTATTTATTTATTTATTTTTTTATCAATGTTGTACTGTTAACTCACTGGTGGGAGGCGTGCGTTTGTAATACACAAAGGGTAAAGAGGCTGTACGTGTGCTGATATTACTTAAATATGTCACGGCTATCAGCCAATCAGATTCGACAACCAGACAGAACTGTTGTATAAATATATTTATACAACAGTTCTGTCTAGTTCTCATACCTGATTGGCTGATAGCCGTGCAATATTCTGCAATATCAGAAATCCTACAGCCTCTCTACCCTTTGTGTATTACTCCGCCCACATACAGCCAGCAGAGAGCAGACACTACAGATCTAAAGTTTAAAAGATGCACGCTCAGCTGTTTAACTGTCAGCTTATGATTTAAATCCAATGGGAAAGAAAGTAGTTCCTCATACAAAAGGGTTTTTGAGACTCTCTATGTTTGATTTAGTTTTTATATACTCAATTATGCCGTCAAACTGTTGTATAAATGCAATATCACACTCATAGCAGTGTGATATGGCTGTATATTGGCACTGGTGGGGGCACGCCTCCCACCAGTGCGATATACAGCAATATTGCACTGCTACAAGTGTGATATTGCTCATATATACACTAACCTACAAAAGTCTTGTCGTTGATTCCAGTTGTAAGAGAAATTAATAATGACCTCTAGTTATTTATTTATATATATATATATATATATATATATATATATAATATGGTGTGAAGATACAAGATGTGCAGCACCTAAAACTATGGATATTGGAAGCCTGTACTGGCATTTCTCCAGCAGTATTACTATCAGTGTGTGAAGAGGAGTAAAAGAGGGTTGCATTGACAATCCAACACAATGGGCAGCACACTGAACACATTTTATAAGTATTCAGAAACTTGTAAATAACTCATGAAAGAATAAAGTTATGTTAAAACCAAGCACACCATTGTTTTTCTTGTGAAATTCTCAATAAGTTTGATGTGTCACATGACCCTCTTCCTATTGAAAAAACAAAGGTTGGATCCAAGATGGCCGACTTCAAAATGGCCACCATGGTCACCCCCCGTCTTGAAAAGTTTGCCCCCTCACATATACTAATGTGCCACAAACAGGACGTTAATATCTCCAACCATTCCCAGTTTATTAAGGCGTATCCATATAAATGGCCCACCCTGTATAATGCAATACATTACCGTGATGCACACTATTGCATGCATAATTCTTCAATTAAAATGTTTTCAATCACAAAAGATGTAAACAGCAATGAATATTTGCTCATTCATTTAAAACCTTAAACACTGAAAAAACCACAAACGACGTCATCGTTTTACATACTACATTTATTAAAAAAAAAAAAGAAGCAACCAACCAATCAACGTCGCATCTTTACATGAAACCCATTTACAGAGAAACACATCTTGTAAAAGCGTAGAAACCATCGACGTGTTGATCTAGCAGCATCCAAATGTTGGAATGAGGGAGACCAGACACAAAATCCTCATCAATAATCAATCAAAACATCTCTGATTTCAGACGCAGACTACAGCCGTCACAGTAAGGCCTTCAACGAGCCTGATGCAGTCCAGAAAATCAGGTTAAATAAGCTTAAATAACAGTGTTAAATACACAACCATTAACCGGAGGCTCTCGGCGCAACAACCAGCGTTTCTGCCACGGATTATTGCGGATTCGGGACACTAAAACTGCGGACGTGAGGAGAGTGAAGAAGGTACCGCTTTATATGACGGAGGCAGAAGATGAAAGTCTTGCAGCGCTACATTCATAATCCGCCTCCAGGATCCCGGTTTAGCACATTCTCCAGTCTGTACTTACATTCCACAGATACGGCTGATATTCTGGGTCTCCATCAAGGCTTCTTGTCGATGGTGTGGAAGAACCAGTCAGTGAACTTGCGGAGCTGCGCAGCGGCTGTCTGACTCTCCTCCTGCAGACGCATGTTATCCTGACGCAGATGCTGCACCTCCACCTGCAGGATCGCCTTATCCTCCTTCTCCTGCACACAAGAAGAAACACTTCAGGATCATGGAGGAGAAGACACATTAGCAATGCACACTGTTTTGTGTATTTAAGTAGATTAATTTTTTTTTTTTTTTGGCTGATGCTTTGAATTTTAAAATGCATGTGTGTGCGTCAATTAATTTATCCATATCTATTTATCTATACACACACATCTATCTTCCTATATATCTGTTCACTCTATGGCCACTTTAATAGGTACACCTGTTCAACTGCTTATTAATGCAAATTTCTAGTTAGCCAATCACATGGCAGCAACTCAATGCATTTAGGCATGTAGACATGGTCAAGACGATCTGCTGCAGTTTGAACCGATCAGAATGAGGAACAAAGGTGATTTAAGTGACTTTGAGCTTGGCATGGTTGTTGGTGCCAGACGGGCTGGTCTGAGTATTTCAGAAACTGCTGATCTACTGGGATTTTCACGCACAACCATCTCTAGGGTTTACAGAGAATGGCCAGACTGGCTCCAGCTAATAGAAAGGCAACAGTAACTCAAATAAGCACTCGTTACAAGCGAGGTCTGCAGAAGAGCATCTCTGAACACACAACACGTCCAACCTTGAGGCGGATGGGCTACAGCAGCAGAAGACCACACCGGGTGCCGCTCCTGTCAGCTAAGAACAGGAAACTGAGGCTACAATTCACACAGGCTTACCAAAACTGGACAATAGAAGATTGGAGAAACGTTGCCTGCTCTGATGAGTCTCCATTTCTGCTGACACTTTCGGATGGTCGGGTCAGAATTTGGCCTCAACAACATGAAAGCATGGATCCATCCTGCTTATTAACGGTTCAGGCTGGTGGTGGTGGTGTAATGGTGTGGGGGATATTTTCTTGGCACACTTTGGGTTCATTAGTTCCAATTGAGCATCGCGATAGGATTAAGGCAGTTCTGAAGGCAAAAGTTGTCCAACCCGGTACTGGTAAGGTGTACCTAATAAAGTGGCCGGTGAGTGTGAATATAAATAATTAAAATGTATTATTTTATAATTTATTTAATGGGGTATATGCCGAAGCATGCTAATAGGACTTTTAATTTGCCAGTAGCCTGGGTTAAGCGCTACCGGCGAATTGAAAGCCAATGCAAAATCAGGTGCGTTTAAGGTCTGTTTTCTTTAAAAATCAGCGATCTCCATTAGCTGAGTGATGTTCGATTTAAAGTGGGTCTCAGATTGTACAAGAAGCACTGCATTAAATTACATTTCCCCCGCCATGTCTTTATAATATGAGCATTTATTTTACCCCAGTATATTCAATGGAGCTTCTGCGTTAGCCTGCCGATTCTGACGGGCGCGTGCGAGTAAACAGCTTTTTGTCTCGCTTTATGCTTGAGCAACTAAATAAATGCTAAATTTTATTTAACTGAATGTATTTTAATGACATTACAACATCGATGCTGTATAAGGAACCGTATAAAATGGAAAAAAGTTCACAATAACAGGTCACCGGAAGTGTATCAGCATGGGAACAGCACTAGCTCAGCATATACCCTATTATTGTCATTCTATTAAACCTAATTTGTACTGTCTTAAAAACATTTTCTTTTATTAAACATAATTACATAATTAAAAAAAAATCATATATCCCAGAGATGGGTTGCAGCTGGAAGGGCATCCGCTGCGTAAAAACTTGCTGGATAAGTTGGCGGTTCATTCCGCTGTGGCGACCCCAGATTAATAAAGGGACAAAGCCAAAAAGAAAATGAACGAATATATAAATATACAGATGTCAAACTAATTTATTAAAATCTAAACTTATTTTTACAAATTCTCTTTAATGTTTTAAACTGTTTTTGGTTGTATGGAAAGTTATTATTATAGTATTTTATTTTTATGAAAACACGTCTGATGCTTACAAATTTTATAATTAAAATGTAGAATATATATATATATATATATATATATAAATATATATATATATATATTTTTTTTTTTTACTTTATTTTATTTTATTTTTTTAAGAATTAATAAAAAAAAAATGTAAATCAGGTGGAGTGTTGGTGTAAAGCATCGTCCAGCAGTCGTCCATTATTCACCTTCTTGAGGTCGTACTGCAGCTGTCTCAGGATCACCTCCAGCTGGTTGACTTTGCCAGTCAATGTGGCAGGAGACGTATCTCTGCAGACACAGAAGACTTCAGACTCCACACAGATGCTCAGTATGTGTGTGTGTGTTTGTGTGTGTGTGTGTGTGTGTAAACTCACCCAGACTCCAGCGCTGCTCCTTCAGCCGCCGCCACACGTCTGGTGAGTTCTCGAGAAATCTGCAGCGCTTCTGCTCTCTGCATGTCTGTCATGGTGCAGAACGAGGCCACACGCTGGTCTGAACACACAACATCACAACCTATTCAAACTCCCAAAAAACACTGGCATGGCTGTACACATCATTTTAATTTGCATTAATGGGTCATTAAAAACATTTTGTTTTGGAATCTGCATCAATTTAAATTTAAGAGCTGTCTTTTATGTAAGAGATTAAGCATCTAGGTGGTTTACCCCATGCATCACACAAAACTAAAATAAACACAAAACACATGTGAATTTATGTAACTGAGGCCATTGTGTGTGCGATCATTTGCAATTGTGTGTGTATTTTAAAATGTTATTTTATTAATAATTTATTAATTCATTAATGAAAGGCAAAGCTGATAGAAATGAAAACGGCTGAATGGAGTATACACTAACCAATGTATTATTCAGCCACAAGATCACCAAACAGTCAAAAACAGCAACATGAGAGACAAGCGTATACATATGGATGTGAACATAATCACTGATGGCCAAAATGATTCTGCTTATTAGTGTTATTAGATTTAATAGGCCATGTAGTTTCTGTCAGGTTTGTGTTGAATTAAATGATTAATAAACTACGTCTCAGAACAATGTTTTGTGTGTAATTTCTAAACATAGGCATGTAATAAGCGTGATGAAGTACATTTAGGACTGTTGTTTTCACAAAATAAATCCGTTTTTATTTTAACTTTTTTTTACATTCTTTTGAATAATAGTAACGATCAGATTTAAGGCTGATTTATACTTCTGCGTCAAACACCGGCGTATGCTACGGAGCTGACGCATAGCCCTTCGCCGTGGCCATCGGCGTCACTGACGTGCACCTCTCAAAAAATGTAACTACACGTCGCAACAACGCGTAGCGCAAGCTCTGTGATTGGTCGGCTTCGTAGCGCTGACGAGTCTGGGCGGGACCGGGAGCCGCGCGAATGGCGCGAGCGATTGTTTACAAGTGTGGAGTCCCGTGAAGGAGCTCCGGATGGAAAGATTTGTTCTGTATTTACCTCATAGTTAAAGTTTTTGCACGTCCGCCGGTTCTTGCCTCAAAATGAGTGAGTTTGAGTCACTTGTACAACCAGGAAGTGTTCATGAAAACCAAAACAGAAGCGAAGAAACTCGACACAGAGGAACATTTACACCTCACTGCCAACTAGTGTTTCGAAAGTGTTAATGCAGACCAACGGACACAGCGCGCAGAAGTATAAATGCACAGCTACACGCGATGCTTGCGCCGTGAGTTACGCCGGTCACCTGACGCAGAAGCAGAAGTATAAATCAGGCTTAACGCACCAAACCAAAGAAGTAACTAAAAAAACCGCAAGCGCGCAGGACAAACTTCAGTAACTCTGCACACAAAATAAATCCGGAAATGCTTCCAGAATGTATTGATAGCGCTTCACTTTTTCCACATATTTTTATTCCAAAATGGATTAGATTTGTTTATTTCCTCAACATTCTACACACAATCCCCCCATAATGACAATGTGAAAAAAGAGTTTGTTGCAAATTTATTAAAAATAAAAAAGCTGAAAGATCACATGTGCATCTGTATTCACAGCCTTTGGCGTGGAGCTCTAAACCGAGCTCAGGTACATTCTGTTTCCACTGATCATTCTTGAGATGTTTCAGCAGCTTCGTTGGAGTTCACCTGTGGTCAATTCAGCTGATTGCGCATGATTTGAAAAGGCATTCACCTGTCTATATAACAGGAATCACCAAACTTGCTCCTGAAGGTCTGGTGTCCTGCAGATTTTAGCTCCAACCCTAATCAGACACGCCTGAACAAGCTAATTAAGCTCTTATTAGGTATACTTGAAACACTCAGGCAGGTGTGTTGAGGCAAGTTGGAGCTAAACCCTGCAGGGCACCAGACCTCCAGGAACGAGATTGGTGACACCTGCTTTTTAAGGTCCCAGGGTTGACAGTCCATGTCAAAGCACAAAACAAGCATGAAGACAAAGGAACTGTCTGTAGACCTCCGAGACAGGATTGTCTCAAGGCACAAGGCTAGGGAAGGTTCCAGAAACATTTCTGCTGCTCTGAAAATTCCAATGAGCACAGCGGCCTCCATCATCAGTGGAAGATGTTTGAACCACCAGGACTCTTCCTACAGCTGGCCGGCCATCTAAGCTGAGTGATCGGGGGAGAAGGGGCTTAGTCAGGGAGGGGATCAATAACACGATGGTCACTCTGTCTGAGCTCCAGCGTTCTTCTGTGGAGAAAGGAGAATCTTACAGAAGGACAACCATCTGTGCAGCAATCCACCAATCAGGGCTGTATGGTGGAGTGGCCAGACGGAAGACACTCCCTCCTGGAATTTGCCAAAAGGCATCTGAAGGACTCTCAGATCATCAGAAACTAAACTCTCTGGTCTGATAAAACTCAAATGAAACTCTTCGGAGTGAATGCCAGGCGTTACGTTTGGAGAAAACCAGGCAGCGCTCATCACTATGCTAATACCATCCCTACAGTGAAGCATGAAGGTGTTGGCATCATGCTATGGGGATGTTTTACAGCAGCAGGAACGGGAAGACTAGTCAGGATAGAGGGAAAGATGAATGCAGCGATGTACAGAGACATCCTGAATGAAAATCTGCTTCAGAGTGCTCTTGACCTCAGACTGGGGTGACGGTTCATCTTCCAGTAGGACAATGACACAAAGCAAACCGCCAAAATATCAATGGAGTGGCTTCACAACTCTGTAAATGTCCTTGAGTGGCCCAGCAAGAGCCCAGACCTAAATCCTATTGAACATCTTTGGAGAGATCTGAAAATGCCTGTACACCGAAGCTTCCCATCCAACCTAATAGAGCTTGAGAGGTACTTCCAAAAGGAATAGGCAAAAATTCCCAAAGACAGGTGTGCCGAGCTTGTGGCATCAAATTCGAAAAGACTTGAGGCTGTAATTAAGGTGCATCAATAAAGTATTGAGCAAAGGCTGAGAATATTGATCCACATGTGATTTTTCAGCTTTTTGATTTTGAATAAATTTGCAACAATTTCCAAAACAATTTTTTCCCATTGTCATTATGGGGGATTGTGTGTAGAATGTTGAGGAAATAAATGAATTTAATCAATTTTGGAATAAGGCTGTAACATAAACAAATGTAAAAAAAAAGTGAAGCGCTATCAATACTTTCCTGATGCACTGCATATATAGCAGAAAAACAAAACGTTGCAATTTTAGATTTTGCCAATATTGTGCAGCCTTCATATATAAATAATAAAATGTTGATTTTATTAAACATTTATTAATGTTTCAATACTAAACACTAGGGATGTAACGGTATCAGAATTTCACGGTACGGTAATACCTCGGTATGAATGTCACGGTACGGTATTTATTGAATCATTTACAGGAAAAAACAAAACTTTTGAAAATACTCCAAAAAAGTGCCAAAAGTGTCAATGACATACAAATTAGTCATCTATCTGTAAGCTTTGAAACAGGAACTTCAATTTTAATAACAAAAAATTATTAAACCATGTAAAAAAATAAAGTTTCAATTTAGTATTGTTGAAAACTCATCTCATTCAACATTTAATCCCTCACTCACTTAGATAGAGATGGGTTTAAAGGAAAGTTATCATATAAATATAATCTGGTAAAAGCTGGTATCTCTGGGCATTTACAATGTCCTCTGCAACAGAAAAATTGTCCCTCTCATTTGGGACTGAGGTTTCTGGGACAGAGAGATATGACTTGGCCCAGGTTGACAGCAGTGAGTAACGTTGTGCATTGTCTTTCCCCCACTTGACTGGACAAACCATGAGTGAGATTGAGGTCTCATGTCTGTATCAATTTGAACAGTGTGCTGTGTCACACCCTCCGTCCCGCCCTTCAGTAGGCGCGCGACAACACCGCTCTTGAGTATGCGCGCTCAACCCCCCCTTCCCGCTTTACAGTAGGCGCACAACAACACCACTATTCAGTATGCGCGCGACAACACAGCTGATCAGTACGCGCGCGGCAACACAGCTGATCAGTACGCGCGCGACAACACAACTATTCAGTACGCGTGCGGCGACAACACCCGCTTTAGGGTTTTCCAGCTCTTTTTCATCCCCGCTTCTAGCAGCACACTCCATTTCCGCATTACTGGATCTGTAGCGACAACAGACCGCAAGGGATGATGGCCACCCCTGGGCTGATGGGAATTGTAGTTTTCACTACCTACCGTTCGCTTCATTCGCCTGAGCAAATTTTCTCAGAAGACCTATAGTTTTACCGAGTCACGCGACTACGGTAATATCGAAAAAAATTAATATTGCGGTATGATGGTATTTACAATACCGTTACATCCCTACTAAACACTGATGTCAAAAAAAATAATAATCACTTCTCATCCTGAATGGAAAACCTCTAAAGCGGAGAAACGCATCAGGAAGTAAATCATCATTCTAAATGTTTAGATTGACCACTGACCCAACACAGGCCTCATAAAACAAACCCAGACTTCTTCACAAACACAGACTGATGCAATATTTGGAGACAAAGTTACACTTTTAGAGGAGATGCTTTTCTTCTAGGTCTCTCTGTGACCCAGAATAACGCTGCATAAAAACACTGAGAGATAAATATAGCAAACAACATATTTGCCCTCCATTTGCATCAGCGAGCACAACACCAAAAGAAGAAGTGTTAAAAAGCAGAACTAATGTTCATAATCTCATATACAGTTGAAAGCAGAAGTGTACATACGCTGTATGAAAAGGCACATAACCATTTAAAAAAGTCAGATGTTAATGTGACTAAACTTTTCTCTTTTAAGTTCGGATTATCACATTTGATTTTGTCCTGCTTAATAGAAGAATAATGAGAGATATTTTTTGAGAAACTAATATAACTTTTCTTGAAAGTCAAGTTTACATACAATGAGATTATTCTGCCTCTGAAAAAGCTCAGATGATGATGTCATGTAAATAGCAAATGCACCATGGCGCGACACAACTGACTCCTAAAGGGAAAAGGAGACGAGACTCTGATTGGTTTATTCTCAAAACACAACTATGGGCCCTATCATACACCCGGCGCAATGTGGCGCAAGGAAAATAATACTTGTTTGCTAGTTTCAGCTTGGCGCAAGAGTCGTTTTGAGGCGTTGCGCTCCACTGTTTAAATAGCAAATGCATTAGCGCTCATTTGTGCGCCCATAGGCGTTCTGGTCTAAAAAGGAAGGTGTTCTGAGGCGGACCGCTGGCGCGTTGCTATTTTGAGAAACTATAATAGATTTTTCATTAGACCAAAACAAACCCGGTCTAAACTCCAGCACAGAGTTGCACCTCGCTTACGCACTGCTTAATACACACAAGAGAGCAATAGGCAAATATCTTTACATATGAAAAAATGTAAATATTAAGGATATATATAGGATATAATAAGAATAGATATAGGATATAAATATAAAGGATTAAAATATTACAAAACATATTATTTTCTAGCCTACATAAATATGAAAAATCACTGCTTTTATGTCTTCTTCATCTCGGGAGGCTTTTTCAGTTCATTCATAACAATTTGCTTTTATATAATGTTATTATTATTAGCAGTATTATTTATTATATCCATATTTATATTTGTTTTATTAAAAACAAGCTTAGATTTGCCCACCTGTCAGGTTTTAGACCATATGGGGCACAGCACGTGTTTTAGGATATAACTCAGGTTTTGAGCACACTTCATTATTATTGTTTATTTATTCGTTTGCTGGAAATTAAAACTGAATTTAGAAACAGTTTTGAATCGAATATTTGCGCTCAACAAACAAAAGTATTTATTTATAGACTAATTGATGTCTGTGCGTAAAGGTTTCCCTATCCAAGAGCGAAAGTGAAAGTAGATCCATTATCTCTCAATCTCACACAGATATAGAATATATATATCGAATATATGTATAGAATAGATGCTCTGTTTAACTGTTTTCTGTTAAAAAACTGTGAACTGTTAACTGTTTGCTTGTGAAATGCTCATTTTTTCCACTTAGACTTACTTTGCGTCCTGTAAATAGCGAATGCGCTCTTGGCGCGACGCAGCTGGCTCTTAAAGGGAATGGGAGATGAGACTCTGATTGGTTTATTCTCAAAACACACCTATAACTCATTAAGAAAATAAACTCAACCCTTTTAGACCATGGGCCATGTCGCAAAGCGGATTTTCCCGTCCTTAAATTAGCAAAAATGCGTCCTGACACGCCCTGAAAGCGTTTGCGCCCTGCGTTTTGCGCTCTGCGCATGGACCGTCAAAATAGAGCCCTATAACTCATTAAGAGAATACGCTCAACCCTGTTAGACCATGCGGCACGCCGCAGAGCGGATTTTTACGCCCTTAAAAATGCAAAAGTGGATTCGGACACACCCTTAATGCTTTTGCGCCCTGCGCTTTAGACTTTGCGCCTAGATTGTCAAAATAGAGCTCTCTGTCTTTTATGTGGAGGCCAGGGGAAAAACTCAGGCAAGATGATTGTTCTCCTAATTGTCCACTGCTAAAAATGTTTTAAAATATGATGCAACCCCCCACAGAGCTCGCTGAGGCCCCCTTGTGGGCCAGGACTACTCTGTTCGAAGTGCTGCCCTATAGTGCACTTCAAATACAGAAAACATAAACTGAGTAGTCAGTATAGAAGAAGAGTGTATTTTGTGGCTCAAAAAGCATTGTGAATCATCTCTGACATATACACACACACACACACACACACACACACACACACACACACACACACACACACACACACACACTGCTGTACCTTCGAAGGCTCTGGCTGCATCCACGAGGTGTGACCAGTCGAGTCCGCTGGCCGTGTCTGGCAGAGGCATGAGGCCCGGGTCACTGAACTTGGCCCGGTCGGCGAGAGAGCCGTCAGAGAACCAGAACTCATCTGAAGAGACAGAGAGAGAGAGACAGAAGGATGAGCGGCTGCACACATCACTGTGAGCACTCTGAGGAAAGACGCTTCCAGGAGGCCAAAAGGTCACGATAATGACCACCCTGAAGAGAAACAGCACGAGGAATAAACAGCTAGTGCTTTTTCAAACACAAGATCAGAAAACATCCCACACATAACCAGTGGCCCTACTTCATTACAATACTTTTGCATAATTCTATTGCTATTTTGAAATTAAGTAAATTAAATTAACTTTTACATGATTACAAAGGTTTTATGTGAAAATTGGCAAAACAAAGTTTTATATTGTAGATGGGAGAATGCGTTTCTGTGGAAAGTGTTGTAAAATGTTTAGCAAAAACATAGATCTTTTCATTTATGTTGAAGTATTTTTTATTCTTTATTGTGAATGGAAAAGGTGCATTTACAATAAAAGAAACCTTTTTAAAAACATTGTTTAATAAATGTATTTGATGTTTTATATTTACTGAAAATAAATTGACGCATTTTGGATAAAGCAAAATGGCTTATTAATAATTTTTGAAGGAACACATTTGACACTGTTAAGATACAAAGATTCTTGTCAGTGTAGTGGCTCCTTCATGGATCAGATTTGTACCTTTGATGAAGGCACTATATTGTACCTGCAGGCTTTAAAAAGGTACATTTTGGTTTTCCCGTGGTATAAATCATGTCCTTAAAGGTACAACTGCAATGGTGCAAATTTGTTTCTTTGTCTTAATGTAACCCCGCCAGTTCAACGCCAATCAACCCACTCCGAGCTGGTATCAAACCTGCGACCTACCGCACGGGAGTCAGTGGCTCTACCAAGAAGGCTAAAGACCATGGCCTCTAGCGTCTGTCGCTAGAGCACCTTTAGAGGTCAGAGGAGTGAGGTTTACCTGCACAGCACTTACTAGCTGGCCTCCGTTACATTAAGGTACAATTCTGTTACATAAAAAGGTACTGTGACAAGGGTTTATACCTTCTTTGGTACAACATTGTACCATTTTTTCTGAGAGTGTATTCTCTTAAGGCTCAAGGTGTTTTTTTACATGCATTTTTTATTTCTCTTTGCTTTTTGGTCTTATTGGAACCTAATTAGAACAAAAACCTAAGTGTCATCTTTTGAAATGATGTACTTTTAGAGACAAGTGATGTCCAAGTATGTGGACTCGTGGTCCGAATTTACTTAAAACACTTTTCCCCAAATTTTTTTGATGCATATTTAACAGAATTTTTTTTAACTTTCTTTGACTATCAGAGAGTAAAGCTTGTTTTTTTTCTTCCATTTTGAACAGTTAAAAACAGGGTTTGGGACATTTCATATGCTACAAGGCGCAACGCAATAGTTGTTTGCTCATTTTGACGTTTTGCACCACGCTGTTTAAATAGCAAATGCATTTGCGTTCATATGTGCGCCCATAGGCGTTCCGGTCTAAAAAAGGAGGCGTGTTAAGGCGCGTTGCTATTTTGAGGAACTATAATAGGCTGCACAATAGACAAGATCAAAGCTGGTCTAAAGTCCAGCGCAGAGCGCCTTAGTTGTGCGCCTCGCTTAAACATTGCTTATTACTCAGGATGTACAGCAACACGCAAATACCATTACAAATGAAAATGAATTAAAATATTACAAATATTATTATTTTCTAGCCTACATCAATATAAAAACCACCTCCTCCATTTCTTCTTCATCTTAGGGGGCTTTTTTAGTTTATTCATGACAATTTGCTTTTGTATAATGTTATTATTATTAGCAGTATTATTTATTATATGTATATTTATATTTGTTTTTATTAAAAACTAGCTTAGGTTAGCCCACCTGTCAGGTTTTAGACCATATGGGGCACAGCATTTTTATAACACAGTTTTTTATAAATTTTTTGAACACTCCTTTAGTATTGCTGATTTACTTGTTTGCTGAAAATTAGAACGGAATTTAGAAACAGATTTGAAGCAAATCTTTGTGCTTAACAAACGAAATGAATTACGTATAGGCTAATGGATGTCTGTGCGTACAACACGATTCTCTATCCACGAGAGTGAAAGTGAAAGTAGATAACGTGGAGGCTCATCTCTTATTCTCACGCTGTAGATGCTCTGTTTAACTGTTTTCCCTCTAGTAAAGCGTTTAATTTTTCCACTTACAAAGTCTGTCATGTAAATAGAAAATGAGCCATGGCGCGACACAACTGACTCTTAAAGGGAATGGGAGATGAGACTCTGATTGGTTAATTCTCAAAACACACCTATAGTTAGGGCCACACGGAATCTGCGCGCGCAGATTTTCCGCAGAATTCCGCAGATTTCTGCAGATTTTTAGCCCATCATTAATTCTGTTTATTTACTTTAGTGAATGTGTGTAAATAAAAATGTATTCAGTTTTTTTTTAACTAATTACAGTAATATTATTGACTAATATGAAAATGTTCATCTGATTTATGTACAATGCAGTTTGTAAAGTCCTATTTTTTGTCTTTTAGTAGAGATATTATGAGAGACTTGCTTTGTTTACCAAATAAAGTGGATCTAATTGGATTTGCAATTTAAACATTAAATAAAAGTTAAAAAGTTATTACTTTTTATTTCACATATTAATGTTTTAGTTATGATACTCCCAAAATAATTCCGCAGAAATTCGCAGATTTTTATCAAAATTCTTCGCAGAAATAGTAAAAAACATCCGCAGATTTCGTCTGGCCCTACCTATAACTCATTAAGAGAATAAGCTCAACCCTGTTAGACCATGCGCCACGGCGCAAAGCTGATTTTTTCATCCTTAAAATAGCAAAAGTGGATTCTGAAGTGGTTTTTAAAATGCACTTTGTGCATGGATCATCAAAATAGAGCCCTGTATGTCTGTAAAAAAATAATAAAACATTGAAAGTATTTTAAATAGCCGCTTGAGAGCTAAAAATGTGCTGTCCACGTACAGTATGTGGACACTCAGGCCTTAGGCTGCGTTTACACCAGATGCGGAACGCGTGTCAAGCGAGAGTGATTTACATGTTAAGTCAATGTAAACGCGCGAATAGATGTCCTGCGGCGCGATATGTGCGAATGGCGCGGCGCGACTGACGAGAATTGCGCGAATGGCGCGGTGAGCATGGCGCAAATTGAGCGTTTTTCGTGTTAGACGCGCTTAATGCGCGTTTCGCGTGAATCACTTGAGTTCAAAAATCTGAACTTCAGCGTACATTCGCGCCGCGTTAACCAATCAGGAGCTTGCTCTTGTGGAGGCGTGATTGTGACGTATCGCCTGTTGTCGGTGTCCCTGGGGAAATCCCCTAGCAGACACCAACAAGAAGTTCACCAAACTGGGCTGTGCTCAGTCAGAAGCACCGCTGAAAACCTCCATCAGCCAGGTTCAGTTTCTGGAGGAGTCTATGAGCTTAAAGAGCTGGATGCACCTCTGAAAGGATGTAGTGGACTCAGACACGGCCCTAAACGTATCGACACTGTTTATCATCCTTCATAAAGCACATAAACACTGTTATTTTCTTTATAAAATCCATGTTAGCCTTTTAGCTATGAAGCTAGAGTCACAGGGCAAACAGAAGCCCTGCCCATCACGCGAATCCACGTCTGTTTTGAAGTGAATTTGACACGCGAATGAAGCGGGGTTTGATGCGCGAATGAAGCGAGTAACCTCAAATGTTCACGCGGCTATTTACGTGCGAATAGCACGATTTATCCGCGCGTTCCGCATCTGGTGTGAACACAGCATTAGGAGGGTACATTACTAATTTACACACACAGTAAATAATTGTATTTTTTGCATTTTATAAATCTATGAACATTAGTTTACAGTTATTTTTACTAGGTTTTTACAGTTCACATTTCTCTCTGACATGTTTCAGCACATTCTGTCCAGCTTTAAGTAAGTCGGTGCTGTCAGCGGTATGTGTTTATCAGCAGACCCTCATTTCTCAATCGCTTGAGTCTGTCCAAACCTCTCAATGTACATCCGTCATAAACGCTAACATCTCAAGCAGCAGAGCCTCAGAGCGATGCATCCGTCACATTAAACCTCCACCAGATGAGCAGAAATCCAGCAAACTGCTTAGTGTCCAATCAATCAGACGCAATCACTGGAAAAACAGCCCTCACACTGATTAACCCGCTCAATGTGTTCATATCACACGTGCTTCAAACCCAATTAGACACCATTGTTTGCTCTGGTCTGTGTGATTGTGGCTTTATCTGTCATGTGCTTCATGTGTCGCTTGCAGCACATCTGCACAAGCTTTCGCTTATTATAGATAATCAGCAGCGGACGGATATTCTAAATGAGGGTTTACTCCTTAATTCAAGCTGTAATGTCGAACAGTAAATATTACTCAGATATTAATACATACAATTAATATGTTTTTGTATATTAATAGTATTTGTTTATATTAGATTTTAATAATATATAATATGTATTCATCACATGAGCATGAAATATGATTAAAACACATATAATAAATATAAAAATATGATTATATAATGATTATAGAGAAACAAAGAAATGTAATTATATTAGAATATAATTATTGTGATATAATTTAGTCCCATTTATATATACATATATATATATATACATATATATATATATATATATATATATATATATATATATATAAAAATATATACATATATATCTGTATACATATATATATGTATATATGTATACGCGGAGCACACTGCACATTTTTCAGAGGCACATACATCGCAACCCACACCAGCGGAGAAGTGGATAGAGATATTAGTGTGGTTATGGAGACTTATATAGCGATGGTTATATGAGCCCGTAATGCACAGGTTAAACCTCTACACAATGTCTAAGGTAAACCCGTGAACTTTAACGAACGAGAACACGTGAAATTTCGGGTTAAGTTCACATCTAAAAGACGGTGCTCACTGAGCAGTATAGAGTTCCCATCTATATACTGGGGCATTAGGACCCACGCAGACCACAGGTTAAGCGCCCCCTGCTGGCCTCACTAACACCACTTACAGCAGCAACCTAGTTTTCCCATGTGGTCTCATATCCAGGTACTGATCGGGCACAGCCCTGCTTAACTTCAGTGGGCGATCATGTAAGAGTTGCAGAGAGCTAGCTGCCGGCATAAAAAAATATATAAATTCAAAAAATTTTTTCAAAAAAACTAAACTTTAACAACATTTTTCAATTGTTTTTGCTTTTGTTGATTTTTACTCAGAAACTGATTTTTTACTTTTTTACTTTTTACTGAAATTTGTATTTGATATTTTTCTATAACATATACATTTGGCTGTAGTAGTTTTTTGACTGTTATCATACGTTATTTTGTTAGATTAGCTGCAGATTTGGCTTCAGTACTGACTAATCTTATGTATATGCACAAATATAATATTGTATAGCTTCTTATTAAAAATATGAATGTAACAGATAGATTTGTGAAGGGTGAACTTATTTATGTTGAGCGCTGTGTATAATCAAAAAGTAATATCACCATGTTATTTTATATATATAGTTAAAGTCTGAATTATTAGCCCCCTCTATATTCATTTCCCCAATTTCTGTTTTACGGAGAGTAAATATATTCAACACATTTCTAAACATAATAGTTTTAATAACTCATTTCTAATAACTGATTTCTTTTCTCTTTGCCATGATGACAGCACATAATACTTGACTAGATATTTTCGAGATACCAGTAGTCAGCCTAAAGTGACATTTATAGGCTTAACTAGGTAAACTAGGCAAGTATAGTTATATATATATATATATATATATATATATATATATATATATAGATAGATAGATAT